TAAATCCCAGACCAGAGGGGCGTAAGGCTAGCCATACATGAATGTAACAGAATTTGGTATGCACCAATACCGAAGCAGGCTTCCCAGCCAATCAGCATCGAGCTGGCCAAACAGCCGGCCAATCAGCATTACTCGCCCCCGGCTTCCTGATTGGCCGGGAAGCTGGCTTGATGGCGGTTTCCCAGCCAATCACAATCAAGCCGGCCAAACATTATGGAGCCAGCTTCCTGGGCAATCAGGAAGCCGGGCGGCATGTCATTACCTGCTGCCCAGCTTCCTGATTGCTTGGGAAGCTGGCTCCATGCCAGCGCAAGCACTGGTATCGGTACTCGATGGAGAAATCTCACCTGCCAGGTATTGTATTCAGAAAGGCGGCACACGGCTCCTTCAAATTTTTCAATCACAGTTTGTTGAGCTGGATGGTGCAGACAGGGCCACCCATGACTAAAAATGATTTTCAGTGATAATGCCACTAGACTTGAACGTGCGCTAGAACTTGAACTGGCCTCTGTGAAGGAGCAGCTAATGACTCTCATAATTATGATTACACAGCTCTTACACCTTTACAGAAAGTTAAATATTTGACATTTAGCTTTGGGTTGCAAAACACAAACAAGGAGAACATTGATAAGTAGGGATAGGCTCCCCATGCTCTGTGGGAACTCTTCTGTTGGGAAGGAAATCTCTTTCAAACTTCCTGCTCACCATTAGAGGTCACACAAAGCACAAGCAAAGAGGAATCGGGGGTATTTTGAAGGTCACTAGCTGAGAAATTTTCGTGCCTAGTGACACCCCTGATCTCCCGACCTCTTATCAACTACTATCTAGTCCTAAAACATGTGATACATCTACATGAAATGAAAGTAAATGTTAACCTGACAACTAAAATGCCATATAAGCTCCAGCATGGCATTGCAATTGTAAAAGTTATTAAGAAAATAAATAAAAAATATGTTAAAATCTGTTGCTTTCATTAAAGTGCATGGCTAGCGAAAAGCCTGTTTTCGGTAATTATTAGAATCCCGGTCGAGTTTTTATTGCTCTCGCTAATCAGCAGTGAGCATAAGTTTAGCTGAGTGCAGCACTATAGGTCTGACTCAGCAGGAGGGCATGTCTGACCTCTGTAGAGAGCCCACTGACCACCACAGAGAGACCACTGCTTCCACACAGAGAACAAGAGCCCTTCTCTGCAGAATGCAAGCAGGGGACAAGCTTTTTTTCTCAGACCATGACTATTTTCTATTGAAAGTTAACTATAAGAATTTGAACACCTTATATTGTGATAAACCTGGAAAGTATTTACCCGATTTAAACTGAACGTTCAATTGGGCTTCAAGTCCGATCGTCATTTATCACTTCTAGCTATACATAACTGGCATATAGCTATTTATGGTAGGTCAGATTTTGGTGACCATTGGATGCCAACAGTAGCTAACTTACATGGTGAAAGAGAGCCTAGAAAATGAATGCCTATATATACCACAAAAATGTCAGGGACAAGAGTGGAGGGGTCTTCAGGTGACATTAGTTACAACATGACAGCCTATGGCAGTCATATTACACTTTCATGTTCGGACACCCACCCAACAGCTGCTGATCTTGGGTCACTGCTTGTGACTTGTAACATGTAAATAAAGACATCCAGCAAGTCCAGCTAGTAAATGGGGTTTTGCAGCTCGTGAAGGAATGCCGGAGTATTTATGGGTAGCAGACAGCTGTGTGCAGCGTCTTATACAGAACAGTAATAGAGTAGCAGGTGCAGGCACTTCAATCAATGGCCATTATTTTGTGATTATTTCTCTTTGTTTGCAAAGGCACAGTTTACAGTTTACGATAATACTTTTTAACCATCTCTGAGACTTAGGTTGTAAGTTACACCCTAAAGTGACTGAGCCCTTGGCAGATGTCTCACTTGCTACCTGTTGTCCTGCTGCCAGTAGTTCCATGGCGAAAATGTTTAAAAATGGAGTAACTACCATAAGGAACATCACTGCTTCTCTTTATGAACAACATCATTATTTACAGAATAGACGCTTAATGTGAAATTACTTAAACCTGTGTTTTAAATCTATGTACCAAACTAAATGCAGAGCTGATACATGTGGGCACTTCTGTAGTCCTGCAACGTGTGGCTCTCTTAATTATTTAAATTTTGACTTCAGCTCCTGAAGTCGAGCTTGTGGTCACATGATTTATCCACCCAGCAATGTGCACTGCTGTTGGAGCTGGAAGCACACACCAGGCTCCAGCAACATTGGGCACAGACAGGATCAACACAGCGTCATTGGACTACTAGTGTCGGTATCAGTGCCGATACCGAGTATTTGGGCGAGTATTCGTACTCGCCCAAATGCTCCGATACTTACCTTCGGTAGCGAAACTTCCGGTCAGAGGGAGATCTCAAGTGCCAAGGGAGCATGGAGCCGGCTTCCTTTGCAACCAGGGGTTATGACCTGCCTCCCGGCTTCCTGATTGGCTATGAAGCCGGCTTCACTTGTTCCTAGGCAGCATGGCTTCTTAACAAATCAGGAAGCCGGGCAGCACGTAATGACCCACCACCCAGCTTCCTGATTGGTCAGGAAGCCAGGCTGCCTAGGAACAAGTGAAGCCGGCTTCCTAGACAATCAGGAAGCTCGGAGACGGGTCATGACGTTCCGCCCGGCTTCATGATTAGCTAGGAAGCCAGCTTCACTTGTTGGTAAGCAGCCTATCTTCCTAACCAATCAGGAAGCCAAGTGACACATGATGACTCACGTCCCTGCTTCCTGATTGGTCAGGAAGCCACGTTACCTAGCAGAAACTGACGCCAGCTTCCTGGAATCAGGAATCCAGGAGGCGGGTCATGATGTACCAGCTGGCTTCCTGATTGGCCCAGAAGCCAGCTTCACTTGTTGCCTGGCAGCCTGGCCTCCTGACCAATCAGGAAGCCAGACAGCACCACATGACTTGCCACCGGCTTCCTGATTGGTCGGGAAGCCAGGCAGCCTTGGCAAGTGAATCCAGTGTCCTTTTCCTAGAACACAGGCTTCACAGGCAATCAAGAAGCCGAGCGACGGGTCATGATCCGCCGCCCAGCTTCCTGATAATCTGGGCACATAACACCGGTACTCGGTATTGGCGAGTACCGAAAAAAAATATATCGGTACTCATACTCCATACCGAAAAATCAATATCGGTGCATCCCCAATTGTTATTGATAATAATAACAATAGTAATAATTATGTTTAGCTTATGGTTTAATATTCAAGCAGAGCTGAAATAACCGCAATCTGTTCATACACACCTGTCAGTAATTAAGCAACTCAAGTTGTCTATGAAGTGAAATCTTATATAAAAGGAAAATCAAGGAACACAAAACAAGAATAATGCAATTTGCTTTGTTTTTATCTTTCCCTTACCGATCTCCGCATTGAACTCCGCGGCGGCTGTCCCCGCTAGCCTTACAGAAGATAATCAGTTTGTGTTGCGAATCATGCCTCGTCCATTACACTGCCGTCTCAGGAACTAAATATTTCCAAATATGTAAAACTGTGTTTGTTTTACTAGCAGTTATATTTGGAAAAAGAAACCCTTCAGAGCTGAGCTGAAGCCAGGAGACATTACTCATCGGCAAACAAAAGCTATTAGAGACATCCGAGAGAAAAAAAAAACCCCTTTGCTTTCATCTAGGAAAAAAACCCGAGAGATCTTATAATAACACTGGAGAGATTACAGCTTGTAACTGCAGCCCATCGGGAGATCAAGCCCTTTGCTGCTGTTCTGGATTCTGGCTGGGGTGCGGTTAGGTCAGCCACAGATGAGCAAATCTTGTAGACCACCATGAGATCTGCATACAACCCGTCTTGTGAAATGAAATGACGGGACAAATTAAAATGGACTGGAACTCAAAAACGTAATTTGCTATTGTAGCCCATCATCACCTTTTGTGAGGTGGCTACTAGAAATGTAATGATTGCCAGAGCTGTAGTCAGTCTGGTTGAATGATAGTTGGCATTTATCTGGTTAATTCCAGGTGTTCTGGCATTGATTCTACCTGGCTGGAGTGTGAGACAACCAATGGGGGACACTGTGAGTGTGTGTGCAGTCCACTAGCCAATCACCGAGGCTCTCATAGCCAGTGGTGCATACTGAGACAGAGCATATATACTCAGGGGAATTGCCATGTGATCAGTCTGGTTCCAGCCATGTGTTAGACCTGGTTGGAGTGCTGTCCAGCCTGCCCCCAGGCTAGGCCTGGGGGTGGGAATACTTGAGTATGGGAAAAGCTTTGCTAAACCTCAAGCCTGGATGAGGCCTTTGCTACTGACTGAGGAAGAGAACCAGGAAAGCCGATGGCTGCTGGAGGTGCCTGGAATAGAGTCGACCTCAGGAGCAAGTCTGGTGTCTCTCCTACCCTATTCAGTGGTTGCTCAAATACCCTGTGTCAGCGTCTGCTCCTGTTGAAGCTGCACTGGAATTCTGAAAGGGAATGGCGAGTCTGGAGTCTGTCTATTTTTCTCATAGATGTCCTAAGCCCTATTCCCTCTCTCCCAGCTCAGATGTTATAATAAAGTTCTTCAGCATTATACTTCTGGCCTGGATCTCAGCTCTGTCAGTCACTAGAACCCCCTAGACAGGCTATGGATGACCCGGGTATTCCAGCGGGTCCTTCGGGGGTGAGCGTTACACTATCTTATAGGGAAGATCTAAAAATTTGTATATGTGCCTAGGCAGCACTCTAAAAAAATCAAGCTTTTGTCTGTACACTGCCTGTACCTTGAGCCTCATAGTTGTAGTGCAGTGTGAGATCACCTAAGACCCTGCTGCCTTTGACTGCTAGTCATATATTAAGATTTAGAGTGAGATTTGGTGACACCACTCCTGTGCTGCTCACTGTTCTCCTTGGGCCAGCACCATGAGCTTCCTTGTGAGTTCAGATGAGCTTAGGTTTGGCCCTAATCCAGACACAAGGCTATTCTTAGAGTGAAGCAGAAGCATTATCGATAAGGCAGAGTACATACCGGTGATAAAAGAATACGCTGCCAGCATATTGCTGATCAGTGCCATCTCAGTGCTACTGTGCCCCGTTGGTGCCATGGTTCGATTGACGATAGCGTGTTCTATCTCTCCCATAGAAAGATTATCATCCACCGGATAGAATGCGGCCGCCAGTCCCTTCTTCCTGTCTGTTAATATAAAGTGTGAGAAGATATTGGTAATGGTAAAGAATAGCTGCCATGGCCAATCTCTTATTGGATGGTTATGTTCACAATCAACACTGCACAGGAAAACATGACAAAGACCCTGTAACCAGACCACATATGGTTATATGTGCATGTGCATTTAATGTATTTTAAGCATGTTATAGAGTGCTGCTGGGTGCCACCACCTTGGATGTGATGTCAGCAGCCCCAGCAGACCCAGGGCTGTCACTCACGTGACACTCTATATCAGGGGTAGGCAAGCTCAGCACTCAACTGAGGTAAAAATACAAATCCCATCATGTCTCTCCCTCTGAAAGTCATGCCTGTGGCTGTCAGAGTCTTGTACTACCACATGGGATTTGTAGTTCTACGACAATTGTAGCGACAAGGTTGACTAACCCCTGATCTATAGTATAGTATCTATAGTGACGGAAGGGGTATAGAAGCTGGGCCAGCACAGACAGTAAATAGATACTCCCAGAAGAGGAGCAGGCTATGAGCAGCACTGCAGGGTGGCCTGTGCTAGGAAATCAACTCTTCATGTACTGGTCAAATTTCATAGCAAGTTCAAAGGCGCATTGCAAGTGAATGCAAAGTTATTTATAAGGAAAAATGCTGCAAGTATATGTTTCAAATGTTTATTCTTTTGTGTTTTATCTGCAGTTATTTTCACAGTTTGTGACAGGCTCCCTTTAAAACAGGATTGGCTGATTTGGCAGGAATTTCTGAGCGCACCACCAAAGACACTGAAAAAACAATGCTGAGGTGTGCATTTAAAGAGAGCCTGTCACCTTGCCTATTATAAAAAACAAAAACGATTATTATTGAACATTAGTGTTAAAGTATTATTGGAGAAGGGATGCGGAAGAAAGAAAGAAAGAAAGAAAGAAAGAAAGAAAGAAAGAAAGAAAGAAAGAAAGAAAGAAAGAAAGAAAGAACAGATTATTTTTGAATATTTGGAGGATTAAAGGAGAAGGGATGGGGAAATAAAAAGAAAGAACGAAAGAAGGAAAGAAAGAGAGAAAGAAAGAGAGAAAGAAATAAAAGATTATTTTTAAACATTTGGAGTATTAAAGGAGAAGGGATGGGGAAATAGAAAGAAAGAAAGAAAGAAAGAAAGAAAGAAAGAAAGAAAGAAAGAAAGAAAGATAGAAAGAAAGAAAAGATTATTTTTGAACATTCGCAGTATTAAAGGAGAAGGGATGGGGAAATAGAAAGAAAGAAAGAAGGGGAGGGAGAGAGAGAAAGAGAAATAAAGAAAGAAGGAGAGGGAGAGAAAGAGAAAGAAAGAAAGAAAGGAGAGGGAGAGAAAGAAAGAAAATTATATTTTTGAACATTTGCAGTATTAAAGAAGAAGGGATGGGGGAAAAAAGAACGAAAGAAAGAAAGGGGAAGGGAGAGCATGTATTAAGTAAGAGGACAGATAAAGGTAGAAGGATAAAGAAGATGGGAGTAAAAATGAAAGGAGGGAAATACAAGAAGATAGAGGGAGAGAGATACAAAGAGAGGGATGAACCCGGGAGACACATGTAGAGAAGCACATACATACATACATAATACATACTGCACATGGTTTGGCTCTTCCCCATGCTCTACATTCATCTAACTATAGAGCAGTTTTGACATATTCACATGTAATCTTTATGACTTTGTCCTGCACTGAGGCCACTGCATCTGCTCTTGTTACACAGCCCTGCTCTGTATCAGGAGCCAATTAAGCCGCAGACAGACCTATTAATCATTTCCTCTTGTTTGTGCTTATTAAATTTAGGCAAAACACCATTTCCGCCTGTGACCCAGTAAGTCGGGGAAGAGAACATTAGTATTTTCGGCTGTGCATTTCATTCAGCAATTACCCCATAGGCCGCTGTTTTGTTTCTTCTGTGACTAGTCTGTTTCTGCCTTGTTCATAATAAACTATTAATGACAGACAGAGAAGGCAACTCCAGGGTGAAATGGGGGAGGAGGTATGCAATTCTTTAAATCCTCCATCACTGTCATAATTACCTGTACTAACATGCTTTTAGAGTGTAAGCCCTCAGGGGCAGGGCCCTCCTTACCATCTTGTCTTGAATTGTATTGTGATTGTAATGCCTTCCTTATATTGTAAATCACTGCGCAAACTGTTGGCGCTATATAAATCCTGTATAATAATAATAATGCTAGTGTCCCTACCCCATGACACAAGCCCTCACAGACACTATGGACAATTTAATGAGCAGCCAATTAATGTAACAGCATATATTGGGTGGTGGATGGAGAACATCTCACCCCAACGACAAACACAACTGTAGAATGTTAATCTGCGGGGGTATGCTGTTGTCTGTGAGGATTTGTTTTGCAATTAGCGCAATTTGTATCATGATTTATAAAGGTTTTATTACCTGCCTCAGCTTTTTCAGCTTGACTAACTATGTAATTATATCAAATACAATCTCTATAGGGCCCATTCACACCAGATCTGTTGCATTGCGATCCGTTCTGCTGCAATAGGTTTTCCAACGGATGGTAATGGAAGGGCACCAAAAAATGAATGGATGTGAATGGCGCTAGTTCACACCGCTCCGTTCCGTTGTGATACATAACGTGTAAAAGTAGAAGGTGCACTACTTTTTTTTAGCACAACGTAACACAACAGATCTGGTGTGAAATAGCCCCATTTCATTTTCGGATCCCTTCCGTTAGCATCTGTTGAAAAACATATTGCAACACAACAGATTGGAAGGAAATCGGAAGGTACAATTGCAAGTCAACGGACCCTTCCAATGTTAGTGTGAATGGACCAGAGATGTGCGGTCAGCGGAGGCAGGTGGGGCAGAGCCTCACCTAGAATTAGGGAGGAAAAAGCTGTCAGCTTAATGTCTGAAGCTGACAGCTTTTTCTCCATTCAGATCGGCATCTAACAGGTTACACAGCAGGGAAATCCTCCCCGCTGTGTAACCAGTCATGGACGGAGCCCTCAGCAGTGAGGAGCAAGTGAGGGACAGGGAGGCTCCTCCCTGTCTCCTCCCTTCCTCATTTACAATAGCTTGGGGACGGGTTTGGGCTTCAGCCGGTGTGGGGGGGCTTCGGCCGGCGGGGGCTGCTGGGGGCAAGTTTGGGGTGGGGAATGCCTCACTCGGAAGAAGAGGTACCGCACATCACTGGAATGCACCCATAAAGAGGGGGCTACATACCCAGGACCCCAGTGCTGCAAGATAGACTGGCCACATAAATCCTAACTTTGACAGAGCACTGTTGGTCACAAACAGTTGCCATTTTGGGTTTTGATACAATGCTTTTTACCCTTTTTTTTTTGTTCCATCAGTTCAGTGCTGCTGAACTACAATCTCTTTGCAGCCACTTTCTGTCTACATACACTCCAGTCATGGCATTTCTTGGGACAGAAGGGCAGATCATTATTAGGAAGTACCTTCATGGCAAATTCTCCAGGTATTATTTCAAGTAGAGCTGCAGCTTTCAAACTGGGCAGCATAGTGGCTCAGTGGGTAGCGCTTCTGCCTTGCAACACTGAGGTCCCCAGTTTTAGTTACAACACTATCTGCATAGAGTTTGCATGATCTCCCTGTGCTTGCATGGGTTTTCTCACACACCCCAAAGACATGCTGGTAGGTTAATTGGCTCCTGTCTAAATTAGCCCTAGTATATGTGTTTATGTATGTATGTGAGAAAGGGACCTTAGATTGTGAGCTCCTTCAAGGTTGGGACTGCTGTGAATGAATAGCATGTAAAGCACTGTGTAAATTGATGGCACTATATAAAGACCTGTAATAAATACAATATTGAAAATAACTTTTAAAATTGCATGAACATGTTAAAGATGATATTGGACCTGGGGGGTCCATTACGCATGAAAAATCTAATTAAACAATCTTTTCTCTAATATTCCTTTCCATGCAGAAACTGCCAATCTGTGCCAGGAAGATGCCAGGTGTGTCTACCACATCAGTGTGCAGATCAACATTGCTAATTACCTGCCAGGAAAATGACTGAGAATGTTCATGACTGCATGTACACGTACCCTTACAGGAATGTACACTCACCCGCTGTAAGACAGAGACTTGCAGTTTAAATATTCTGTATTCTGACAGTGGCAGGCGCCTGAATATTTTTCCCCTGACACCTTTGATTTCGTGATCTAAGGTGCTCAGGGTCACTTCTGAACTAATTTAGGCCGGCTCATCAAGAACCGGATAACATTCGTACAATCTATAGTTGAAAAAGAACAACAGGTTCCTGTAAATCACTACTTGAGAAAAGACGAGGAGGATGACCAGAAATAAGGTGGATGGATACAATGACAGAAATGATAAACATGCCTTTATGCAGACCGAAGACTCAAACAGAAGGCCAGAGGAACCATGTCCTCCACGGTCCAGAATTATGGCATGGCTGTCAACCACCTGGATTGCTTAAGCTGGCCACAGCCCTTACAACCATCGCAATACTTTTGTCTTGCGATGGTTGTAAGGTAATTAAGAAAACGTACGATCTGCCCATCTTGGACAGGCAGATCGTACTTGCGATAATCGCAAGCCCGCCCCGCTGAGGGGCGGGCTTCCGATGACCGCAATGCTGAACAGGCAGTGTGCGCTTGCGCACACTGGCCCATGCGGCATTTATCTTACGAACATGCCACACACCCGCTGACAATTCTCGGCGGGTTTTCGAACATCTTCCTAAGATAAAAGTCGTGCGACCGTACAGTAGAAACGGTTGCACACCTTCAGAATGAGCATCCTGGGGCAGAGGCGTAACTAGAACCTTCAGGGCCCCAGTGCAAGAAACCATGAAGGCCCCCCCCCAACCCTACTACATATTGGCTCTTGATAGTAAGGCAGACATGCATGCAGAACATGATTGTTTTCTTCTGCTGGAACAAAGCTTAAAGTGACACTAAAATCAGGTGTGACACTAAACACGGCACATCACTGGTGTGTTGTAAAGTAAGTACTTTTTGAGAAAGTCACATGACGAAACGCGTCAAGAAGGTAGATTCATTTTGCACACGAGGAGTTTTTTAAAATGGTTCCAGAGCTGTTTCTGCCGGCCGGATTTTTAGATTGTATATAAGGTTCGCCGACAGCACACTTGGGAGAATTCATCACTGTGTTTGCGGAACATCTCCAGCGCTGCAAGGAAGAAAACTCTCTTCCTGCCAGGTCTCAAAGCGGGAACAATCGAGTATAAATTGGAGCAGGATTACACACCAAAGTGCTGCTTACCAAAAAAGCCGTCTACTCACTACATTGGGGTGAGTACCCATCCATAAGGGGGCCGTTGGACTGCAACCGAAATAGATCAACTATTATTTGTGTTTGTTTCCCCCGGCTTTTTAAATTATTATCCACTGAAAATTGTTTTTCCGTCGATCTGACATCCTCATTGTGCGAAACATGCACAGATTAGATTGTGGGTGAGAATTACATGGGGTTCTCTAGATGCAGATATATGCTGATTTTCTAAGACTTTTATATACGAGGTCTGGACTGGTTTCTAAAAAGCCCCCTTTTCTCTCCCCACTGGGTCCTTGCACAGCCCACTGTGGAAACAATCTGTTCCTTTGTATCCTCATTGAAAGAGTGCTATTTAGAGATCAGCTTATGAATTGGTATTTTTTGCTGATTGACTCTGAAAGACTACCACGATCTTTGCTACATATTTCTGACTGTTGACTTAATGTAACACTTCATTATTACTTTTGTTTCACATTTTATTGTCACTAGTTCTGTTCTTTTGACACTAATTTATATAATTTTTTTCGTCTTTTTGTTATAATTTTGTCTAAGAATTTATTTTAGATATTTATTGATACTTATAATTAATTTAACCTTAATTAGGCTGAGGTTAAAATTACCCAGCCCTGGTTTATTTATTATCTTCACTGGATCACTTGATTTTTCACTTGAATACTTGATTGTATTTAATATTATTACCTTCATGATTTACACCTTTAGCGCTTTGATTTAATCTTTTTCGTTCAATCTAAGGAGTTTTCTTCCTTTTTTCTTAGCTGCTTTAGGTCTTAATTTAATTTATTTTATTTTAGTTAGTTCCAGAAACGCAGACTATTTTACTTCATACCAATCCAAGCTTGCTCCCATGATGGACTACAATCTCAATACAAATTAGTAAACTAAACATGAGATTGTAGTCCATCACGGGAGTGAGCTTGGAGCAGTGACTACTTTACAACACACACAGGGAACATGGGGAACAAAAGTAGCCCCCCTCCAGAAGGAAGGACAGTGTCAGCACCAATTCAGAGATGATTTGAGGATCTACAGCCGAGTGATACACAAATAAGATACATTTTTGTTGATAGTTAAGGTACTTGAATACATTTTTAAGATTTAACCCCTGAGTGTAGTGTCACTTTAAAACACACTTTAATTATAAATGTAATTTTCTTTGTACATTGAATGGTGATGTACCTGGTAGAACGTGTTCAGTTATGAAGGCAGGGTCCGGGAAGAAGGCCCCATCCCCAATCACATTGCGATCGTAAAGTCCAGGCCGCTCTGGGAAGTGAGTTTGCCGCACTCCGTGGTAATTTGTTGACTTTGGCTGAGTTTCATACAGCAGTTTCTTTGGGACTGAAAGGAAACAGAGAAGAAAAAAAAACATTAAAAGCAGTTTAAGTATCTAGTCTATAAAGTCCTAATCTTACAGACCATTAATTTATGACGATGTTTATTTTTGTTACATTCGATTAAATTCCATTAGCAAGACAGCAAGAGTGCAATATCTGTCCAACCATCCGTAACTCATACAGGACACATATAAGATCTACAAACAATACCGGCCACAAATGTGAAAACTATTATTCAGTTAGAATTCTTTATTACAATCCTTTGATAAATCCATATTGCCATATGCAGGCCTTGCCATTTTATGTAATTGATCTGTTCTATCTGATTGCACAAAAAAAGGAGTTGTTCCCTAGATCAGCGGTCGCCAACCAGTGGTCCGCGAGAAAATTTTCGTGGTCCCCGGACCCCTCTGATACCGTGCAGACTGGGCCTTCATTGAAGCGACACGGAGGCTCCGGGGCTGTCTCTCACTGACTCGAGCAGCGGCTGTCACAAGGAATGCGCGGCTCTCAGTACAGTGCGGGCTCTGCAGGAGGCGGGGCATCTCGTCAGTACCCGGACTGAGCAGGCTGCGGGACATAGAAGAAGCAGGGAGAAGCCAGGTAATAGTGGCTCAGTGTGGGGGAAAGGGAGGCACGGGGGTGGTTGGGGGCAGTGCTGGAGCTAGGGGAGGCATGTGCCGGCAGGGCCAGTGGCAGATTCGATATGGGGGAAACAATTAATATTATTACTGGGGCGGGCGGCACCGCTCCCTCCCTCCACCAGCACTGCCACTCCTGCAGGCACACCCGCACCTATGTATGTATGTGTATATATACTGTATGTTTATATAGATATATTCTCATATTTTTTGTTTCCTCACATATAAATATATTCTCTACACACACACATATGAGAATATATTTATATATGAGGAAACAAAAAATAGTCCTCTTTAGGGTCAAATGAGTACATTAACTAATGTACTCCTGTGACCCAAAGTCAGCATCTAGGGGGCTACATGCACGCTATATGCTGACAGTGCAGAGTCATGCTGCAGCTGTGAAAGATCCCAACAATATTGTGAGGATCCACCCCGCTCCCAGAATGACAGCTTGCTCTGCCTCTCTAAAGGTACAGCCTGATGTGCCTGCCCCTGCGGAGAATGACATCGATTGCTCTCGGTGGGGAGAAGACTGTGAGCTGAGCAATCGGCGGCTCCTGATCACTCCGTTCTCGATCTATAGAGCCGGCATACAAGAGTACATTTTACTCTCCCAATACTTCTCCTTTAAATATGCCAAAATGTTATTAAACACAAGTGTTTCATGTAGAACGAAAATTGAAAACCTCTAAGTCTTTTCTATGCAGGCTGTTAACGTTCTCATTTTTTTCCCTCTAAATCAGATTTCCTTCCACAGTCGGTGTGGTTCTTGACCCTTTTTCCTTGGAAACGTCTGCCGCACCAGTTTATAGGGATGCCAAACAATGCTCCCTTTGTGCTCAGACTAAATAAACTCTCCTTTTTAGTGATTACACAACCAGTTCCAAAATGCAATTTGCTTTGACTCTGCAGAACACTGTGGTGTTTGGAGAGGGCACAATCCACAATGACGTTTTATAGAAACAATCACCATCATACAATTACTTAAATTGCCTAAACACAGTAAAAAGAAAAAAGGAATTTTATTTTAGGAAAATTTGATACAGAGCTACAGAGCGGAGAGTAATGATAGTGGCGAAAGCTTTTAGTCTCATTTTCTTTTATTTCACGGTGGGTGAGTCACCTAAATACAACAACCAAAGTGCAGCCATTTTGTTCTGGATAAATACACATCTTTATTGTATCTTTAACAACAATGTACATTACAGCTGTGAAGTTTATGTGGCAGGTTTTCCTTCAATTGGGCAGTCATGTTGTAGACTGGGACTTGTTTGTCTAAGTGCCTGAAATAAGATCACTTCTTCAACATGACAATGCCAGGCCGCACACGAGTGCAGCAACAAGAGATGCAACTCAACGCCTGGACTATTCAGTGCTGCCGCATCCACCGTATAGCCCAGTCCTGGCCCCTAGTGATTTCCACCTGCGCCCAAAACCTGAAGGGAACACTTGAAGGGCCATCGCTTCATCTGTAATGAAGAGGTGAAGTCTGCAGTGTGGAAATTGTTTCAAAAACAAAACACTGATTCTTTTTAAGGACAGTTTTCAAAAACGAGTGCAGTGTTGGCATAAGTGTATTGAAGTGTGTGGTGATTTTGTAGAAAAGTAATTATGCAGCATTTTCCCGTTCATTTTCTATTTAAGTGGAGGCAAAATTTATCACCCCCCCACACACACACACGTAATAAATACACCAACATGAATCAAAAAATGATCATATATGATATTTTTGCACTGGAGTTTGCAGAGCATTGCAGCCATGATTAGTGGATGGTGGGTGCAATTCACAATCTCTTTCCCCAGCCCCAGGTCCATGCTAAGATACAGACCAACAGCTATGGGGCTGGAGAATGTAATCAATGGACTACAAGTGCGGTAATGTGCCCCATTGAAATCTATGAGTCTCTTTGCCGTAGTGGTAGATGGGTCATTTAGTAATCCTATTCACAGGTCTCTGTAAATAGATGATGCGGCTGTACGTGTGAGGCCACTTCAATTGAAGGATGTCGGGTGGGAGCCAGCAAATAGGGCCACCCACTGAGTGGATTTCATCCGCTTCATCAAGAATTGGCCGAAATGTGATCTGTGTATACCTAGTTTTAGACAAATTGATAAACCAGGAAGATTAGCAGTGCATACCTCCCAACTTGTGAAAGAGGGACAACTTTTAGCACATAGTATGTAGGCGAAGGTCACAGCTGAGCCACATCCCAAATTAAGTGGATCATGAAAAATGAATTACCAATCAGTGATTGGATAAACCCAATTGCCACCAATCCTGTATAAAAGCTTTTAACTAGGAATGCACCAATAGCGTTTTTTCGCTATTGAGTACGAGTACCGATATTTATCTTTCGGTACTCGCCGATAACAAGTACCGATACCAGTACTTCTGCTAGCATGGAGACAGCTTACCGGCCAATCAGGAAGCTGGGCAGCTTGTCATAACCCCCAACTGGTTTCTTGATTGCCCAGGAAGCCGGCTCCATACTGTTTGGCAGGCTCCATGCTGATTGGCCAGGAAGCCGGCTTCCGAGCCAATCAGCATCAAGCCGGCCAAACAGCATGGAGTCGGCTTCCTAGGCAATCAATAAACCAGTTTGGGGGTAATGCCATGCTGCCCAGCTTCCTGATTAGCCAGGTAGCCGGCTCTATGCTAGCGGAAGTACTGGTATCGGTACTCGTTATCGGCGAGTACCGGGGGGGAAAATATCGGTACTCGTTGGAAAAAACGGTATTGAACAAAATAGGGGAAAAAGGAGTTACGCTACAAATAACATTTATGTAGACTAGTCTCCAGGGTTTCAGTAAGATAATTCAAAAACTATGTAACCCCTAAACAAAGAAATCCCTTTCATGGAGCTGTTTAGTAACCAAGTAACACAGTTGATGTATTTAGAGTATATAAAGCAGATTTAATAGAAAAATTACACAAAACATCAAATCACCTACTACAAGACATCTAAAATCATTTAAAAACGAAAAAACGACCTCCCCTGGACAACCCTATTAGAAGTAATGCGGGTGCTGTTCCATAAACCACCTAAGTGGCAGATAGTCACTGATGCAGGCCCAAGTGCTGTCCAGGGGAGGTAGTTTTTTCGTTTTTAAATGATTTTAGATCTCTTGTAGTAGGTGATTTGATGTTTTGTGTAATTTTTCTATTAAATCTGCTTTATATACTCTAAATACATCAACTGTGTTACTTGGTTACTAGACAGCTCCATGTTAAGTGTATTGAAGTGTGTGGTGATTTTGTAGAAAAGTAATTATGCAGCATTTTCCCGTTCATTTTCTATTTAAGTGGAGGCAAAATTTATCACCCCCCCACACACACACACGTAATAAATACACCAACATGAATCAAAAAATGATCATATATGATATTTTTGCACTGGAGTTTGCAGAGCATTGCAGCCATGATTAGTGGATGGTGGGTGCAATTCACAATCTCTTTCCCCAGCCCCAGGTCCATGCTAAGATACAGACCAACAGCTATGGGGCTGGAGAATGTAATCAATGGACTACAAGTGCGGTAATGTGCCCCATTGAAATCTATGAGTCTCTTTGCCGTAGTGGTAGATGGGTCATTTAGTAATCCTATTCACAGGTCTCTGTAAATAGATGATGCGGCTGTACGTGTGAGGCCACTTCAATTGAAGGATGTCGGGTGGGAGCCAGCAAATAGGGCCACCCACTGAGTGGATTTCATCCGCTTCATCAAGAATTGGCCGAAATGTGATCTGTGTATACCTAGTTTTAGACAAATTGATAAACCAGGAAGATTAGCAGTGCATACCTCCCAACTTGTGAAAGAGGGACAACTTTTAGCACATAGTATGTAGGCGAAGGTCACAGCTGAGCCACATCCCAAATTAAGTGGATCATGAAAAATGAATTACCAATCAGTGATTGGATAAACCCAATTGCCACCAATCCTGTATAAAAGCTTTTAACTAGGAATGCACCAATAGCGTTTTTTCGCTATTGAGTACGAGTACCGATATTTATCTTTCGGTACTCGTTGGAAAAAACGGTATTGAACAAAATAGGGGAAAAAGGAGTTACGCTACAAATAACATTTATGTAGACTAGTCTCCAGGGTTTCAGTAAGATAATTCAAAAACTATGTAACCCCTAAACAAAGAAATCCCTTTCATGGAGCTGTCTAGTAACCAAGTAACACAGTTGATGTATTTAGAGTATATAAAGCAGATTTAATAGAAAAATTACACAAAACATCAAATCACCTACTACAAGACATCTAAAATCATTTAAAAACGAAAAAACGACCTCCCCTGGACAACCCTATTAGAAGTAATGCGGGTGCTGTTCCATAAACCACCTAAGTGGCAGATAG